TTTCCGCATTAAGGAAGCACAATTCACTGAGAACGACTCTGGAGCCCAGCATCACTTACTTTTCTCTTTTTCTACTACTGTACATCACCTCCTTACAGCTGATTCCCTCTTCATTTCATTTCACAAGCACTTTATTCCTCTTCCATCACTCTTTTTATCCATTTTGCCTGTTTTAACACTTTTTGCAAGCTAGAAACTCATTTCCTCCCTTTTCTGTCACTTTCCTTTCTGTCCATTCTAATTCTTTTTTGGGCAGCTTGAAGAAAGTCAGTCAACTCTTTCAGAACTGCATTTAGACAGCGGAGGATAGAAAGAAAGTCAAGAAAGAAGATGGAAATATTGAAGGTAAGACTTTATTCACTTCTTAAAGAAACTGTATGCTAAGACTGCAAAGGAAAACTATTTTTAGTCTAGTTGTGCTGGTTATATTAGTTTAGAATATACTGTTTTGGTAAGTTTATCATGCTTAATATATTCATAGTGGTAAGTGCATGAAGTTATGCACACTACACTGAAAAAAAAAGTGTAGAAACAATTTTTACTCAGAAATTGCTAGTAAATTTCACAATTACTAAAAAATGGCAAGTGACATTATACTTGAAATCTGAAAGTAGAAAAAGCTTTCACTCTAGTAATCTTTATTTTATTTACCACTATTTTGAAAAATAATTTCTTATCTAACTAGTTATAAAGTTTACACACTTATAACTACATGGTATCCAAAAGGGAGTCTAAAGTTAAAATATTGTACTTGTACTAGGAAGCATAAAACAGAATAAAACTGATGATGTTGCATAGCCACAGAGCTTTCAGATTAATGCATTATAAAAATAGTGAGTTTAAGACTGTTCAGGTGCATATATGTGACTCAGAGAGCATGTTAATGAAATAATGTGATACTGAAATGATCCCAGAAGAGGTGTTATGAAAGGAAACAATTAAAAAAGTGAGATAAGTGAATATGCAGATGGAGGGAAAGGGTAAAAAGCTGACATAAAAGTTGAGGGGAGAGATATTTGAGTAAAAAAGAGCTTTTGTTGAAGACAAAATAAATGCAGACTCAGAAGTTTGAACTGAGCTGATATCAGCAGCAGCACTGCAGCACTTAGAGGAGAAAGGGTTACAGAGACTTAAACAAAAAGAAAAGAGGATGTTGAATGATTAAAGGCTAGAGAAAACATAAGGATCAGGTGCAGTAAAGTATTTTCAAAATATATAAATTCTCAATAATCAATTATGCACTGTAATTTTTTCTAAGTTACTATTATTATGTAAGCACTATTTTGGTCTTTTTACTTTAATATTTCATATTTAATTAAAAGTGTCACTTGACAATTATTTGTGTAATTTAGAGTGAAAGTTGTTTCTGCACTCTGCACTTTTTCTTTGTGATTTGGTGGTTGTAGTGAATAATATTAGGAACATTTTTTTAAATAATTAAGAAAATATTGATTAAATGTTGAGGAATATACATGTGCATGACTAAATAAAAAATGCAAAAGTAAAAAAAAAAAGAAGTGCAGAAGAACTGAGAGGGTTAATATTTAATTTTTTTCTAAGTTACTATTATTATGTAAGCACTATTTTGGTCTTTTTACTTTAAAATTTCATATTTAATTAAAAGTGTCACTTGACAATTATTTGTGTAATTTAGAGTGAAAGTTGTTTCTGCACCAATTTTTTTTTCTTTGTGATTTGGTGGTTGTAGTGAATAATATTAGGAACATTTTTTTAAATAATTAAGAAAATATTGATTAAATGTTGAGGAATATACATGTGCATGACTAAATATAAAATGCAAAAGTAAAAAAAAAAAGAAGTGCAGAAGAACTGAGAGGGTTAATATTTTACTGTGCCGTGTGTGTGTGTGTGTGTGTGTTTGTAAAGCAGGCACCAGAACTGAGCTCAGCAGCAGTGGTGACGTTTTACTGCATTTATTTATTTATTTCTATTTTTTGGAAGGGGGAGGGGGTCACAAAGAATAGGTGCGAAAGACGACCAGAAAAAGAGCAGATAGGCAAGAAAAAAACAGGGTTTAGAGAGCATGTGAGCAGCGTGAGAAATCCTGACACACAGGGTGAGGGAGACGAGGTATAATTACCCCGCATGTGTGTGTGTGTGTGTGTGTGTGTGTGTGTGTGTGTGTGTGAACGCATGTCACAGGGCAAATACTGTGCTTATTTAGTGTAGAGGATTCATTTTTCACATACACAATTCTCATGCTTCACTGAAGTATCAACTTATCTCAGACATTTCTCATTTTATTTAACGCATGTCACACAAAACCTGCGCAAAACAAGACAACACACTGAGAAGTAAAAATGCTGTTAGCACTGAACAGGAAATGGAAGCTGAAGGAGAGGGAGAGAGAGAGGGTAAAAGAAGGAGAGAACGAGAGGGGTGAGCAGT